GTATATATAACTTGGCCAATGTGTAGATGGAATATGTTTGTAGTTCTAATTTACTTCAAGTTTTTGGACTAATTGTAAGGTGTCATATTTGATGTGTTGATATGAGGACGCAACCTTGCATGTTTATTGTGTACGAGACAGACAAGTGTCGTTTCTTACAATGGCAAAAAGTGTACAAGTAAAATTTATGTGCTTATGTTCTCGAAGAATTGGACTTACTTCTCAGAGTTTTTTATTTTTTTTATTTTTATTTTTTTTATTTTTATTTTTAGAAAATGACACTTTTGATGATCCATCCTTTTTTGTTTCTTTTGAGAATTTTTGAAATAATTTTTGTTTTTCCTTAAATTTTTAGTTAAATGAACTAATCAATAAGTGGATAGGACAAAAATTAAGAACCGTAGGGATCCTTAATTCAATATGCAGAACATATGGTCCATTTGATTGTAAAGATGAAATTTAAGTGGAAAGAAACGAATTTCAGGGAATTGAATTGTCAAGAAATTATTTTCCCGAGAATTGTAAATTATTGTGTTTGATTGGTATAATTTTTGACGTGGAAAATGTTGAAATAAAAGTGTTCTTTGGAGTTCGTTTGATTGTGTTTTACATAAAAATTTTCAATTAAAGAGATAAATTTTATTGGTATTGAAGATGAAATTTGTTTCCATTGTAAAATAATAATAATAATAATAATAATAATAATAATAATAATAATAATAATAATAATAATTTTAAAAAATTATCTATATTTTGGTGTTCGTTTGAACTTGTTTTATATGAAAATTATCAATTAAAGGGAAATATATATATATATATTTTTACAATAATTCTTAGAATTTGTTTTCATTGTCAACAAAAATAAATAAATAAATAACCAAAAAAAGATGCTAGAGTAAATCGGCACACCAAAACATGGAAAATATCTCTGTGGCATGAAAATGTGGAAAATGAATTTTAATGAAATTTTTGTCAATCAAACACCCAAAAAATGAAAAGATGAAATTGCAATTTCATTTTCTATAGAATTTCCTACCTATCAAACAAGGCCTTAGTTCCCATTTTTTTAAAAACTCCTTTTTTTTTAAAACTCATTTTCAACCATGCATTCTTCAATAAAATAATATTACACACAAATTCAAATTTTTTTCTTTATTTTTAATCATACATTATCCATCAATCTACTATTCAAATTTCAAAATACATTCTTCCTCCAACATGGGGCTCAAGCAAGGGCTTAAAAAGATCAGATTGTATAATGAATTATGAATCTTCCCCAGTATCCACCTTTTGAAAATTCCATAGGATAATTTTATAATACACTGATTTTTGACATTTTGATTGATATTTGCATTATTGTCAAGTGTCAATTAGATGAAAAAATAGTTTGAAATTTAAATTGTTCAATAAGATAATGACACGTGATAAAGTATAAATTAAACTATATAACATAGTGTACATGTAGCAATGTTATTTTATAATATAGATGAAGAGAAATAGATTGATTTTGGTCCATTTTAGTTATTTTGTCTCTGTTGCGGCACAGCCATTACGGTCTGTTGCAGCCAAATAGTTATTTTGCACCACAATCACCTGGATTCTGCCCCCAAAACCACACACTGAGTCCCCGACCTTCCTCATTGCACCCTTCGAATCCCTCGTTCTCTTCAAATCATTAGATGAAGCAGAAACAGTAGAGATATATACAGAAAGAGGGCAATAAATGGATGAAGATAGAATAGGTTTGGTGTTGGCAAGGGCTTCGGAGTTGAGGTCCAAGATTACCAACTGTATTCGACAGGCAACTTCTGAAGTGGAAAATCAAGTTAAGGAAACTGATAACAAAGAATCTGAAGCAAGCCCAGTTGCAGAAGATCAAGAATTAGATGATGATGAAGAAGGAATAGAGAGTCTGCTCAATATTAGAGATGCCCTTGAATCGCTTGAAGCCCAGTTATCTTCTTTACAGGTTCCTACTTGATTTTGTTTGTATTTCCTTTCTTCTTGACAAGATTTTAGATTTTCTGTCCTTAATTAGCGGTCTTTGTTTTGCATTACTGGATTTCAGATCGTCTGTAATTGGTCAGGGTTTAGAATTTCTTGAATTTGCTTCGGAATGAAATGAGATTAGATTAAGAAATAAAGTGAAATTATTTTACACAAGTCTTTAGCCCTTTAGCAACGCTAAAGGTTGGAAAACCACAAAAGAAGTTAGTCGAATCAATTTTCGAATTACTAGTGGAATTTTGAAGTTGGAAATTCATTATAGCATGTTTTATCGGGAGGGATGGATAGTTCAGAATTGTACTGAGGATGAAAAATATTCATTCTACTTGCTGGTCCTATTTACCAAACATGCACTAGGGGTTTATCCCTCCTAAGTAACTCTGGGCAGACACACACCATACTGTTAGTTACGAAACATGGCTGAGATGCTTAATTAGATTAAAAAAATATGTGCCTAGAGTCTACAAATCAGAAGATGTGAGATGGTATATGAATATCACTTTTATGTGCACTTCCATTTAAAATCTAAATTTCAACGATTAGTTTCTTTGAGGCAAATGGTAAGTTCTTTTGGTTCTTTAGGGCAAATGGTAAGTTCTTTTGGTTCATAAAGAATGGAAAGTATTAATCAACATCAGATACAGTTTAGATGCCTTGAATTAGTTGTCATATCTTCTGTATCATCTAACCAGTTACAACTATAAACACTCTGGCAATGGAATTTTATTTGTTGAATCTGCATTATAACAAATTTTAAAGTCGAAACAATAGTGAGAGTCTTGGATCTCTTGGAAGGATACATTGTTTAAGCTTTGTAGCTCAGCAATTATAGTTTATCAATAATTGTTTGGTTGCTATAAGTGACTCTGTTTTTAACATATGACCATAAACTGTCATTATGATTTCTTCTCATAATAATTTGCTAGGGCTTCCACTAGCTAGTTATTGCTTGACTTTCTGTGCCATTTCTGCTACTATTTAAGTTTGCAACATCTTGTTAGCTTGCTCAATTTGCTAGAGTCGTGAATATGTTGGACTATGTGGAGCCTAATCGCAGAGTAATTGTTAGCTTTCTCCGAGTCATTATTATTATTTATTTTATGTTGTTGGTTGTAGGTGCATTTTGGGCATTCATACATGTATTGGACTGTATGCAGCCTATTCATTGTAATTGTTAGCTTGCTACAACATAATTTTCAATTGTTTCTTTTTACGGTTGTGATTATATATTTGGCATCATACATGTATCGTGTCACCCTAATATTTGTATCATAAAGGATTTATTAGGTGGTTGTTTTTGGTGTGTGAGACAAAATTTGAGAGATGAGAGAAAAACACTGTACTCTTCTTCTCCATTATAGTTCAGATCTACAGTAGCGAGTGGATGTAGCTCGGACATTGAGTGTGAACCACTATAATTCTTGCTGTGCTTTGTTTGTTTTCTGATTGCTTCTTTGTTAAGTGTAGGGATTAGGTCTAATCCCTTACAGAATGGTCGTGCTTCATTCCATATTTCTATATGTTTGTGTGCTCTGGCAACCATATGATCTTCTTCATCAAAATTATGATGTGTATGCATCGTTTTTTTGTCAGGCTAAAGCACTCTCATCTATTATTTTCTTTGTTAGGCATTACAACAGCAGCAGTGGTATGAGAAAGAAACGGCCCTGGCCGAGATAGAGTACAGCCAGGAAAAGCTGCTCAAGAAGCTGAAGGAATACAAAGGCAAGGACTTGGAAGTTATACACGAGGCTATTGCTTTTGCTGGCGAAACAGAGGACGATAATGATCTCCTCCTTCCTCCATATCCAACTCGACCATCTTGTTTGCTAGTTTCAGATAATGACCATATTTCAATATTTTCTTCCACTCGAAAGTATGCTCAAAATGAGGTAATAAGTGGCAGAGTAAAAAATCTCCCTGAAACAACAAAAAATCTCGAAACGGATAGAAACCAGACACGTACTTGGTTGAAAGGCCATGGTATGAAGTCATTTCTTGGTGCAGCAGCCAGGACAGCCCTTACTATTGTTGGGGTAATCTCGGTATTGAGTTTGGCTGGTTTTGAGCCAAGGCTAAAGAAACGGGACAATCAATTTAAGATTTTAGGCAGAGTTTGGCTGCAAGGGACTGGTGATAATGGAACATCTGATAATTGTCCCCCTGGAAATATCCCAGTGATCGAAAATGGTGAAATGCGGTGTATTGTGAAAGAGAGAGTTGAAATTCCATTCGCTTCAGTTGTTTCTACACCTGATGTGAACTATGGATGTGGATGAAATCATTTTTCCCACTTATCCCAAGGGGGAAAAATGGGAAAAATGTCTGGCGTCGTTGTTTTCGTTCTTTTGTACATCCCCGATCTGTTTTAACACTGTGTAACTGGAATAACTTGCTTAGAGTCTGCAGTCTTGATAATTTACTGATTTCTTTCCTTCTCATTTTTCAAATTGTTTGTCCCGAAAAATGGGCTCTTTGTTAAGATCTTCAGGTTGTAGAAATTATCAACAGAAAAATTTTAAGGTTCAGTGTTCTTTGATTGGGCTGGTTCCCTCGTCATAAGCTAGTTCAGTACACGTGCATTCAATCTAGCGCGATCAATCTTTACTCAATCAGTACGACAGTCAAGTTCTCGTGAACGAAGTTGTCCGCATCGCAATAATCAAGACAGAAAACTCCAAATTTTTTTAAAGCAGCACCTGGTTTTGGAGTCTCCACTTTGTGGATTTTTGTCTCTTTCTGAAGATGACATAAAAAACCGATTCACAATACACAATGAATATATTAATTTCCCTATCATCCACCAATTTGGTCAAAACCAGACATTAAATTATCAAAATATAGTCCAGAAATCTCAACCCCAGTTTCAACCTTCCCCAACATTGTGCACCTTTATTGGGAAGTAAAGAAAATATATTGTCTCTACTTAATTCCCAAAGGTCAATCATGTTTGGTTGAGATTAAAATAAGTGCATACTGTGTAGTTTTATTATTTCCGAAGCTTAGAAGTGACTTTAAAGTTGCCTTTCCTCACTGAACTGATACTGCTAATTTGTCTTCACTCATAAATCATGAATGTCTGGAAAATCAACATCAACAATCTTGGTTCTAATACTACCATGATTCAATGCAATGGTGGGTGCTTCTCAATTTGATTTTTATAACAAATTTGTTTTCTTTTTTCTCTAATGATAAATTTATTACAGGAACTTCATCGAGTTCTCACTCATATTACTCCAAGATTAATGTAAGGGAAAAGTTTGAATTGGGATCTTTGTTTGATCGTTCTGTAAATTATTCCTGGGTTAAAAGGGATGGATCAGGATGTGGACTTGCCTGCAAATCTCTAAGAATTCCAAGATGTAAGTTTATTTTATCCTCTGAGTCAATTTATGCTAGCATATGATTCTTTCCTTGGACTGCATAGAAATTATTTATACTGTACAATTATCCCTCCACCGCGGATCAGCTTAATATTCTTATTGTATAATGGATTTTAGGGGCGACGAAAACTCTGAATTCTTCTTCTCTATTGCTGTGAAAACTGCGACCACTAGTGGATATAGCGGATAAATCTGCGTGCTTGGATTTTTTATTTATCTTTTATTCTGTTTTATCATTGTTCTAATAAGAAGGTTATTAGGACTTTATCTCCGGAACTTTTTGGGGTGCAGGCGTGGAGAAGAATAGGAGACTGGAAGTGAGAAATTTTACAGAAGAACAAGAAGCTTTGGTGGTAAAATCATGGAATGTAATGAAGAAGAATGCTGGAGAATTGGGTCTTAAGTTCTTCTTGAGGTGATCTCTATTGACCTTTTCTTAAATCTTCCATACAACGTGAAGTGTCTCCATGGCTAAGATCAGGATGAAAATAAGACCCCACGTGGCTCGTTTGGTACATTGGAATGTAGAATTATTAGAAAGCATTAAGCAAGAAAAAAGAAGTTAAAATATTGTCCTTGTCCTATGTAATGCTGTCAATACTGTTTACCTGCGTGTTTAAATTGATCCCAGTTAATTACTTAATTATAGTCACTCGGACTGAATCGCAGGATCTTTGAGATTGCACCATCTGCCAAAAAGATTTTTCCGTTTCTGAAGGATTCTGAGGTTCCTCCGGAGCAGAATCCCAAGCTTAAACCCCATGCCGTGACTGTTTTCATAATGGTAAGCTATTTATTTAGCATGTCTTACTCTAGTTTTCTACATGACAGCTTTCGAAAATTAGAGCAGTAGACCATATTTTTGTGTTGGCATATGCCAGTATAATCTTGCAGTAGGGAAGTTTAAACTCGGCGTTGGACTAGATGAAGCCTAATCATATTGTACACTTTTCTCCTTGCCTACAGATTGAACTAATATTCCTACTACATAAAGGATTATAGAAGGCAAATATTTGAACCTGGGATATAACATAAACTATTCAAGATACGAATAATTAAAGCTATTAAGGCTTTATGTGCTTGTTCTTGAGCCTGCCAATCCCCATAATTTTCATCAAACTTCAAGAAAATTGAAGAAAAGGAATTTATCAGGGAAACAAAGATTTTGCAATATGCAGATCTTAGGTGTTTGGAATTTGTGTTATAGTGTCAAAGAATCAAAAAGATTATGGGTCAACCGAGCATTTTTATATCGAGTTTTTAAATCATGATGATTTAGTAAAAGCTAAGGTTTCTTTCTCTACCCATCTTCACATTAGCTATTTTATGGGCTGATCTTTTGCAGACTTGTGAAGCAGCTGTACAACTTCGCAAAGCTGGTAAGGTCGTCGTGAAAGACTCAAATTTGAAAGATTTGGGAGCTACTCACTTCAAATACGGCGTGGCTGATGAACATTTTGAGGTACTACACAATATTTAATTTCTTAGGTTGGGATGATGCTGAATTTGCTTTCACAATATGTGTAGAACCTAATAGGAGTGTGTATATTTAACAACGTGGTATTGGGTAGCCTGACATATATTAGGTCATCCTCATATTTATACCATAGGATTTTAGGAGGGTTGTTTTGGATCGACAGGACAGACGTGTATGATAACCTGTGTAATCTCTTTCTTCATTATAGTGAAAAATCTTTAGTGGCAAATGGACTTTGTTCTCACATTAAGTGCAAACTACTACCTGTATCTACTTTGCGTGTTTCTAATATTATTTTGCTTAATATTCCTCTCGTAACAAAGCAATGACACTTAACTGAATTGGATGGTTTCTTAGAATCGAAGCAATTGTTCTTTCTTATTCATCAATAGATTTTTGGTCACCAAGTTCTTTGATCAACACGATATGAATTCGATCATAGAAGAGAATCTCTTCAAATGAACCAACTTATTATCTTTATTTTGTAACATTTTACATTCCACGAGTGCTTTGCAGGTGACAAAGTATGCATTGCTGGAAACGATAAAGGAAGCGATTCCAGAAATGTGGTCGCCGGAGATGAAGATGGCATGGGGGGAAGCTTATGATCAATTGGCAGCTGCAATCAAGGCGGAAATGAGACAGCCTTCATAAGTTTCTTGAGAAGATCAACATAAAATTTATGCTTCTTTTTTTTTGTTATCCCTATTGTATGAATCTTTTGATCCCATTATGAGTATACTATTTGGCATTTTGTCTATTATTTGATTGCATACCCTACTTAAATAATAAAGCATGTTTCTACTCGAAAGCAATGCACATTGCCACGATGACGAGTGTTGATCCCAAAGACGATGCAAGATTGAGTTTTAATGACAATAATGAAATATTCAAGATCACACCACGGAAAGACAAGATTAAAGTAAAGTAGAAAAAGAGAAACTAAGTAGAGGAACGATGAATTTTATTAAACTCGACACTATGAAGAGAATAATATAGGACAGTAATAATGCTTCATCTAAAACTGACAAAAGGAATCTCTAATAGGCCACGTCCATAAACCTAATGGAGTCTTAAAAGGTAAGAAAATATACTAGAATTAGGTTGAACCGCGTAAAAAGAAAAAATCTTGGATGTAATTTGATTTCTTTCCAAATTCAAGCCAAATGTGATCTTCCAAGATTTCAACCCAATTTTGAGGCATTAAACCTAATAATTTCCACCTTGACTCAAAATTCCGGTACAACGAACAAAACTCCAAAATTTCAAATCCGTCTGCTTCAAAATGAACGGACCAATCTCCTCAACACAGTAACCAAAATTTCCATAACCAAACCATCGTCCTCTGCACGACATCCACAAACGACACCCGAACCTAAATCTTGGGTTCCCAAAATTCCACCAAGGAATTATCGTTGACCTAACATGGTCGAAACACACCCTGTAGCATAAACCATATCACATGCTGGATCAAAAGGCTCCTTGCTAAAACTGTCACCTTCAACGTCCTCTAAAGCATTCCAGACATTATTGACATCACTGTACTTACGCTCTATGAGTCCAACCCTAGCAACTGAACACAGTATATTCGCTGAAATTGGTGGGATACCGAAATCATCAACGCTCTCCCTAGCAGTGTTCTTAACTAACTCAGAGCTCGTCACAAGAGGTAGTGTACCAAACTAAACTTTCACTACGATACTGAACTTGTCCAAATGTCTCTTAATTGGTTCAGCGTTCCCCTACAAGATGTACAACTGAAACTTCTTCTGTCCTTCCAGTACAACCTGGACACCCCTTCGAACCTTCAAGACTCCACTTCCATCAGAAAATTTATACCTTTTTGCATCTAGGGTACTCAGCGATATGAGATTCTTTATCAAGTCTAGAACAAGGAAAACCTGATCAAGTGTCCTCGTTGTCCCATCTTGTAGCCTCAATCTGACCCGTCCGATTCTTGCAACCCGACAAGACTGGTTGTTTCCCATGACAAATCCACCTCGCTTTACCATTTCATATGTCTGAAACAAAGCCCTATTAGAACACATATGATATAAACATGCAGAATCCATAATCCACTTCTCAGGATTCCCCATCAGATACAGCCAACACTACATCTTCATCATCTGAAAAATTCTCAATAATTTTAGTCTCGTTATCTAATTGTCCCGCATGATTTGCATGTAAATCACCTTTATCTTACAACTTGTCGCAATCTTTCTTAATGTATCATTTCCTTTTGCAGTAATAATAATACACGTTGCTATACCTCACCTTCGATCTACCTCTCCGTCAATCACCATGAGTAACCAGAGCATCCCCACCCTTAGATGTAGGACCTCCAACCAACAGCTCCATCTTCTCCTTTAAGAACAAGGCATCATATATCTCCTAAATGGTCAGCGTGTTATGACTATACAATATAGTATCACGAAACGACGAAAAAGAACTAGGTAGCAAACACAACAGATCAATGCCAGATCCTCTTAATCATATTTTATCTCCAACGTTTCCAAATTTACAACAATCTCCTTGAACACAGTAAAAAGGTCGTACAGTGACCCTCCTTCTCTATGCGATGGGAATACAACTTTTGTTTTAGAGTCAATTTGCTCGTCAGACTCTTTGTCATGCAAAATTGCTCCAACTTGAGACATAAAGCAGCCGCCATCTTTTCCTTCAAGACATCCTGCAGAATACTCTTGGATAAGTGAAGATGAATTTGCTCTAGAACATTTCGATCCCTCCGTTGTTTCTCTTCCACAGACAAATTTGCTGGCATCTTCTCAAAACCTAACAAACCATCTTAAGATTCATCTGCGTCAACATAGCCCTCACCTTTACCTGCCACAGTAAAAATCTTGTATTGCAATCCAGCAGCGAAATTTCATACTTCAATGAATTCATCCTTGAAAAATCTCAGCCAAATCACAAAGAACCCGCAACCTTTGCTCTGATACCACTTGTTGATCTCAAAGGCGATGCAAGATTGAGATTTAATGACAATAATGAAATATTCAAAATCACATCACGGAAAAAACAAAATTAAAGTAAAGTAGAAAAAGAGAAACTAAGCAGAAAGATGATGAATTTTATTAAACCCGACACTATGGAAAGAATAATACAGGACAACAATAATGCTTCATCTAAAACTGACGAAAGTAGTTTCTAATTTATAGGTTACGTCCATAAACCTAATGAAGTCCTAGAAGATAAGAAAATATACTAGAATTAGGTTAAATCGCGTAAAAGGAAAAAAATCTTGGGTGTAATTTGATTTCTTTCCAAATTGAAGCTAAACGTGATCTTCTAAAATTTCAACCCAATTTTGAGGCATTAAACCTAACAACAAGAACACGTCACAATAGATAAGATTTTAACTTATTTTTCTTTTTACTATGTATGATTCTGTTTGGATGAACTAGCTTCATCAAATAAGAGTTTCTACACTCCGGTCTAAATCCTTGATTAATAAAACAATTTTTACAAACTATAAAATAACGATAACAACGACAGTTAACGGAGAAAGTGAAAGAAATAAACGAAGTTGTACAACCTTTTTTGACAATATATACAACTTGAAACGCATTTATTAAAATTTAACGGTTGGCTCGCGTAAATCCTCCAATAAAAGAATTTGTAAAACATTTTTTTTATTAATTTGTCATTAAACCAGACGAGTCAAATATTTCTTTTGTATCAATGTATATATCGAAACTTATCTCAAGATTCAACCCAATTTCCTAATTGATAAACGTAAACCACGAACAAGCGAAAATTCATGAAAAGTTCCAATTTTTTCCTTTTCTAATTATTTGAAGTTCCAATATCCAAAGAGTAAATATAAACACTACCCTATTATCATACATTTTACCCACGATAGCGTATTTAAGTTGTTAACGAATTCGGATTATGGTCGAGTATTTCTTTGTTTAGTCATGTTTGATGACCATTATTTGGCAAAAATAAAATTTTGAATAGTGAATTTTTGGAGAATTTGTAATTAAAAATGAGGAATATGTTTTGATTTCCGTGCAAAATATTTTATTGTGTAAATAATGACTAAAAATGAGTTGGTAGAATAAATAGTTTTGAAATAATAATTATAAGAAGGGTAATTAGCACAAAACATCCCTACCTTTCGATGTTTTTGTGGAAAACGTCCCTACCTTTCATTTTTTGGTGGATTACACCCTTACCTTTACATTTTTTTGTCAAAAAGTCCTTCTGTCAACTCTCCGTTAAAATGCTCCGTTAAATCAAAAAGGTAATTAGCACAAAAGGTCCCTACCTTTCAAAGTTATTGTGCAAAACGTCCCTACCTTTTATTTTTTAGCATAATTAGCAGAAAAGGTCCCTACCTTTCAATATTATTGTGCAAAACGTCCCTACCTTTCATTTTTAGCATTTTTACCCCTACAGTTCACATTTCATTGCGCAAAAGGTCATTTTCATCCATTTTTCCAATAAAATGACGATTTTACCCTCCTATTAAAATAAAACAAAAAGAAAAGAAAAAAATAATTAATTAATTGCAATCATAGTTCTAAGTCTTTCAAAACATTACAGATAAATCCTAAATTCTCCACTACCGCCACTTTCACAACCCCACCAAGCCACCACCTATAGATTCATATAACACCACTTTTCGACCATAACACATAGGACTCTACCACCACCAACGTCGCCTCACTCTCCCCAATATCCTCCTCCATAGTATTGGTCACCAATCTGTTCGAAACAACCACATTTACGGTGGTGGAGTCCAATGGGCATGGTGCCCGAAAGGTGGTATTATGTGGATTTATAGTTGGCAGCTTAATAAGTTGTGAAAATGGTGGTGGTTGAGAATTTATGATTTTTTGTAATTTTTTAAAAATTTAAGGATTATGGTTGCAGTTGGTAATTCATCTTTTCTTTTTGTTTTATTTGAATAGGATGGTAAAATCATCATTTTATTGAAAAAATGGATGAAAATGACCTTTTTGCAATAAAAGGTGAAAGGCAGGGGTAAAAATGCTAAAAATGAAAGGTAGGGACGTTTTGCACAATAATATTGAAAGGTAGGGACCTTTTCTGCTAATTATGCTAAAAAATAAAAGGTAGGGACGTTTTGCACAATAACTTTGAAAGGTAGGGACCTTTTGTGCTAATTACCTTTTTGATTTAACGGAGCATTTTAACGGAGAGTTGACAGAAGGACGTTTTGCGCAAAAAAATGTAAAGGTAAGGGTGTAATCCACCAAAAAATGAAAGGTAGGGATGTTTTCCACAAAAACATCGAAAGGTAGGGATGTTTTGTGCTAATTACCCTTATAAGAACAATGCCCTGCATATAGGACACTGTTCTACAGGGGGCTTACAGGCTCCCTCACTGTAGCGCAGGTCGATCCCACCAACCTGCATTAAAAAAAAAATTGTGCAGACCCCCGACATTGTGTCTGCCTTGACCGAGCTTTGTAAAATGCTCCATGTACGTGAAGTGCGGTTCTAATTATAAACAGGGGCGTATATATTTGGTGATGACCTTTTAAATGTCCCAAATTTTGGAAACATGGCAAGGGTGTCATTGCATGCGTCACCATTCATGGTGGCAATTGGTCCAAAACCATGTACCCGCCGCCGCATACAGCCGCCGGTTTTCAAACATGTGGTGGCTCATTAGTCTTAACTACTACTTGTTTGTGGCTCAGTAGTGTGGCTTTTCATTATCATGAAGGGTTGCTCTAATCCTTCCAAAGGACACTATATAAAGTTCATACCAATTTGATCAGTTTGAGCAAAAAGAACAAACGGATTTTATAGGATTTTCAAGAAAGTGTTCGATTTAAAAGCATTTGAAAGTCGATTAAATTAGCATCATGAACGATCACTTGAACGCGACTGCCCAACATAAAGGTGAGTATTGTTATCTTTTAATCCAATTACTTCATTTTTCGGTTCATGTTTCGCTATTCAAAAGTTACAAGACTTGAACATTCTTGATAATATGGCTTGTTTGTATTAGATACGTGTATATCGTGTCACATAATGACATTTTTTGAGCACTCTAGTACACACGTCTATTACGCTACCAACGTGTCTTATTTTTCATATGTTTTTATAAAATATCAACACCATGGATATTTTAGGACACTGAATCATACGGCATCATACTTGCCTCTCTTAATAACATTTTTGTGCACATAGTATTGGATTCATTGTACGACAGAACACTTTTGAGTGTGTTTTGGTATATATTATTGAGCACAACAAGAAGATACAATTGATAAGATTTAAGCTTATTTAATGTTCTCCAAACAACTTTAATATCGACGGAAAAAAAAATAAAAGTTTGTTCAATTTACTCTCTAGTTTCATGTACCAAATGCTTGTTTAAGTGCCTTTTGTTCTAACCTTTGATTTTTCAAGATGGAGAAAATTGTGGAAGCATGGGAGGAGAAAGTTTTACAGAAGAACAAGAAGCTTTGGTGGTGAAGTCATGGAATGTAATGAAGAAAAATGCTGGGGAATGGGGTCTCAAATTCTTTATCAAGTAATTAGCCAATCATAATTTTATCTTCTTAAATACTTATTTTCTTCAATCCCTTTTTAATCAATTTTTAAAGTAAAATTGATTAACTTTCTTGGAGAATAATTTGTCAGGATATTTGAGATTGCACCATCAGCCCAGAAACTATTCTCATTTTTGAAGGACTCAAATGTTCCACTTGAGCAGAACCCCAAACTCAAACCCCATGCCAAGTCTGTCTTCGTCATGGTCAGTTTCTTCTTAACCTACCTAGCTCTTCTTGTCTACAATATAGTTCAGTATATTAAATATAACCATATTTGACGCGTTGGACGCGATAGTAAAAAACAAGATTACGGAACACAATCAAATTTAAAATCTCGTATGTTGTCCTATACTATACTGTCCAGCTCGGCAAACTAAATCCACCCTTAATCGTATCAATGCAGAGGAAATTAAATCATTTCCGTGCTATTCAATTTTAAATTTTAAGTATGGAGAACATATGGGAAAAAATTTTCGTTAGTCCTATAGCTTAGCAGAATATCTAATCTACTATAACATTTGTCCTTGCTTCCTATCTGAGTGCCAAAGAGAAGAGAGAAAGGGCTGGTGGTCTTTAAGACAGAAAATATGTACAGTATTGTGTACAAAACATGCCTTAAAATGCAAACGCGGGCTAAAATGTAAAAAATGAAAAAAACCAGACACCAATGTTCTGCTTTGAAGTAACTACTTAGGTTGAGTTTTGTAGACATGTGAAGCTGCAGTACAACTGAGGAAAGCTGGAAAAGTTGTGATAAGAGATTCAAGTCTGAAAAAAATAGGTGGTGTGCACTTCAAATATGGAGTGGTGGATGAACATTTTGAGGTAGGAGACCACTTCAGTTTTTGCCATTTTCTTTGAAATACTGTCAAAAAGTATATGGTAAAACAATTTTAAATATATTTTGTTGGTAAATGATATAAGATTTTGTTATAATTTCTTTTATTGCACGTCTATGAGATATTTGATATTTCACATACAGTACTGAACTAGACAATATAAGATATATCATTTATGTTGTTTTTTCTTCAATTGAACGACAAAATTTAAGAAAATAATTTAGTCCTTCTTTGACCCTCTTTTTTAAAACTCATTTTCAACCATACTTTTTATAAACGGATAATTTTTCTCAACTTTTCTACCAAACATTTCATCAATTTTTTTTAAATTCAATAAAAAATTGATATTTAGCTAAACCAAACAAGGGCTTAATATATCAACAATGACATATATCTATTTATTTATTAATACATCATTCATACAATTTTCAATAGGTCTAGATTGACTTTTTTTTTTTTTCCCATAACTTGTAACATATAGTAACATATATGCTCCATATTATAATAATTTACTTATTTTGAAAAAAAAGCAGGTTACTAAATATGCACTGTTGGAGACAATAAAGGAAGCAGCAGGAGAAATGTGGTCAGCAGAAATGAAGAATGCTTGGAGTGTGGCCTATGATCAATTGGTTGCTGCAATCAAGACTGAAATGAAACCCTAAATTCCTCTCTAAATAATTCGAATAGATAACCCCTTTTTATAAGGTATTACTTTTGGGTGTTCATTATCAATTAATAATAAATGCTCTTTCATGTACAATTAAATAATAAATACTATTTTTAAAGCCTAATTTGTTATGCTTATCAACTATATTTGATTTGTAATATAGACGCAAAATACATATCGATAATGGAAACCTTTTCACCTCTGCTTTCGATCTCGATAAAATTAAGGTTTTGTTACGTGTACAATTGGGGTTGACAATATCATAAACAAAATAAATAAATAAATCCTGAGCCCACCTTGTGTAAACATTGTCGGGTTGTCAACCCCGATTGTATACATAACAAAATTGTAAAATTAATGACAATTTAATTGACAAGAATTTGCAAGTAATTGCACCATCCCCAAATTTATAGAAGCTTCAATCGAATTGCTGACCTCTTCTTCTTCAATTACAATGTCATCCCAAAGTAATTCGAAGAAAAACAAATGAATCGAAAATGAAATTAAACTGACAAACACAAAATAAATCTTGATATTGATTATAAACTTGCTTCCAAACTTTGTTTCCCGACTCATCCACCCATTTTTCTAAGCCGTCGAAGCCCAGTTCCTGAAAATCGTCGTTAAGTTTCATGATGTGATTAAATTTTAGTTAAAAGTAAAAAAATAAGCAGCTTAAGAATGAGAAAAAAGGTTTTTAATTATGCATGTTAATCCTTATCTTCTTCATCTGTACACCAGATTCTTGGTCAAATGTGTACGAAAGACACTACTGAGTTTGGGAGAAAAGAGAGATGGAAGTGAAATATTTGAATGAGGGAAATTTCAGTGACTGCGATAAAACATTTTAAGGTCTGTTTGATGAAATTACTGACTTGGGAATAATGAACCCTGCATGACAATGCCCGCAATTTGTTTGACGAAATTACTGACAAAGACGCCATTGCTTAACTTGGCCAAAAGTTCAACGATTCTTGTATCAATGGCGTCTTAGCAATCTGTTGTATGTGTGAACAGTCTCCTCTCTTTTCTATGCTATGCTAAAATGTTCGCCCCTATTTTTCATTGCCCCCACAAATTTCCAGGAATCATTTGAAATGGCCGTCTCAATCCTCAAACACCACTGCTCAAAGCGCGGTGGTCCCACCTCCGCTCCCTACTCATTACCACCAGTAACCTCCTCATCCCGCCTCAGTTTTCCCAAATGGATCTTGAAATCCGCAACAATCCTCACCTTGCCCTCCGGTTCTTCCATTTTACTGTTTGTAGTTATCTTTGCTTTCCCTTCCTACGTTACCACAATTCACATTATTTGTCATTCCCGGCTTAAGTCCGAGGCTAAGCTTAATTCGGTTAGCTTCCGTAAATTCCCAGAAGTCCACCAGCCCATTTCTCTAGCCCGCCTCCCATTCTTGATATCTTGATCAAAACTTGTAGGACCTATGGTTGATGGTTCTGCACCATTTATCTTCAATTTGTTAATCAAAGCTTGTTTAGAGTCGAAAAAGAACGATCAAGGTCTCGGTTTAGAAAGTTGAAGTCCAAGAATGTGTTTTTAATAAGTAGTATGTGTTATTCTTTGATTGAGTTGATTTCCCAGAGTCGAGGTTGTTTTGCTGCGTATGATCTGTATAGGGAAATTTTTTTATTTAGATGGTGAAAATGGAGTTTACGATCGGAGAGGGTAAATGGCTTTTTTCCAATTGTGAAATGTTTGAAGTGTTAATGGTTGAATTTTATAGAGAAAGATCAGTGAAGAATGTGGAGGAGGGACGAAAAGAAATGTGAAGTGTGGTTTGCTTGGGGAATTCATATAGTTATAGTGTCTACTTGCAGAGTATTGTGGCAATGTTAGAATGGAGGATGCCATGAGGGTATGGGAAGATGTGCAGAACAAAGATGTGAAGCTAGATGCAGTGTGATGTAGCATAACATAGACATAGAAGCAATCACATGGAAGGAGAAGAGAGGGAAGTAGAAACCAGATAAAAGAAAGAGAAAGAAGTAGGAGAAGAAGAGAAGAGGAGGAGGGGCGGTGGAAAAGGGGAGAATGCCTGCAACACTCCAATTTTCATTTCATTTCCATCAAATCTGCCCCCCATGCATAGAAGGCTGCATACTTTTATACAATACAAAGCATAAAAGGGCTTGGGCCAGCCCAATATATGATACAAGCCCAAAAACAAAATAAAAAGCTTGGGCAAGCCCAAAACATAATATAAGCCCAAATAAAATACTAACTAGATAGTCCAAACTAGACGTCCTCATCAACTCTTCCGGGGTGGGAGAAACAAAAACTCGACTCTGTCGAGGGAATTACTCATAAAAGGTTGCAGTCAGTCACCCAACCATAAGCTGAGTGGTTGGACAAACGTCTTTCGACGTCCATATACACGTGTGATAGGTGGTCTGGGCAATAGAAGATCATGCTGACTCCTATATAGCTCCAACAAGTCAGGATCAAGTTGTTGGAGTGTTTCTTTAGGGATCCATGTGCAATCAGAGTCAGGTCGTCCTACCGAACGAATAAGAAAACGCTGAATTTCTCCATCATTGGTCAACATAAACTGTTCATCTAAAATAGCATTAATCTTATCTTTGGGTATTGTGACAGGGGGTGTTGAAAGTAGGGATAACAATAGGTTCAGGTTGAAAGTCAACAGATGGGGGTAAAAAAGGGTCATCAGAGGGCTTAAAATGGTCTTTATAAGCAACTAAATCCTCAACATTGAAAGTGGAGTGGTAGCTAAAATGTGATGGAAGATCAATGACAAACGCATTTGGACCAACACACTTTAAGATTTAAAAGGACCAGCGCTACGGGATTGCAATTTGGAAGCGGATCCAGATGGACGTCGTTCCAGTCTAATTCGGATCATCACATAATCCCCAATTTTAAACTCAACACGTCGTTTATGCAAATCAGCTCGAAGTTTATATGATGCATTACTTGCCTCTAGTTGTTTATTGATCTCAATATACAAGTCATGAAGATGTTGTACAAATGCCTCAGCTGACACAGACACATTAGCATATGGGGACATAGGGATAAGGTCTAAAGGCTTCTTAGGTTTATAACCATGAACAACTTCAAAAGGACTCATGCCTAAAGACCGATTCACAGAACTGTTATATGCAATTTGGCTATCGGGAGGATTAAATCCCAGTTCCTCAGATTTTCCTGAACTAGACATCTTAATAGGTTACCAAGACTGCGATTAACAACTTCAGTTTGATTATCGGTCTGATGATGATATGTAGTGGAAAATTTCAACTTAGTGCCGACCATGTGCCATAAGGTTCTCTAGAACTGGCTAGTAAACCGAACATCCCTATCGACACAATGGTCTTAGGAAGGCCATACAATTTAACAATCTCATTAAAGTACAGCCTAGCAACCTTAGACGCATCTGAAGTCTTGCTGCAAGGGATAAAGTGGGCCATTTTCGAGAAACGATCCACTATAACAAAAATAAAATCATGTTTCTTTGGAGTACGTGGGAGTCCTAGTACAAAATCTATACTGACGTCTTGCCAAGGACAACTAGGGACGGGAAGAGGTGTTTAAAGTCTAGTGTTTTGTCTCTTCTATTTGGTCAACTGACAGGTGTTACAAGCACTAACAATCTTAACTACATCTGTCTTCAAACGAGGCCAATAAAATAGACGTTCAACCTCTTCGATTGTATTATCATGTCTAAAATGCCCAGCCAGGCCGCATGACTTTCCCAAACTATAAAGTCTCGTACTGAAGTCCGATGGATGCACAATTTTTTGGACCTAAAAAGATAACCATCCTCCAGACGAAAACTATCAGTAGCATTCAATTGTCCACTTTGCAATGCAAGGAAAATGTCCTTGAAATCGAGACATGACTCATAATCTTCTTTGAATCGTTCAAAACCTATGACCTTGACACTCATATTGGTTAAAAGCGGAATGCGGCGGCTTAAAGCATCCGCCGCTTGATTTTCACTGCCCTTTTTATGCTTCAAAACAAAAGAGTAGGCCTGCAAATACTCGATCCAACGACCATGTCTAGCATTCAACCTCTTTTGGGAATTAAGGTAGCGAAGTGCCTCATGGTCCGAATAAAGAACAAATTCCTGGGGCAACAAGTAATGACGCCAATAGCGTAAAGCTTGTACAACTGCATACAACTCTTTGTCATAAGTTAAGTACCGTCGTTTGACATAATTTAATTTCTCACTGAAATAAGCAATAGGATGGCACTCTCGGCTCAAAACTCCACCTATCCCTACCCTAGAGGCATCACATTCTACCTCAAAAACTTTGAAAAAATTGGGAAGTTGCATGACTGGAGCTTCTGTCATTCGTCTCTTAACCAACTTAAATGTTTTGGCCGCTTCATGCGACCAATAAAATTCCCCTCTTTTCATGCACTTCGTAATAGGAGCCATGATCGTGCTAAACCCTTTAATGAAACGACGATAAAAGGTAGTTAAACCATGAAAACGCCGAACGTTATGTATAGTCTTGGGCTCAGGCCAACCAACAATGGCCTGAATCTTTGCAGGGTCAGCAGACACTTCTGTCGCGAAGACAATAAAATCTAGAAATACAACTTTATCTGTGAAGAAAGAACATTTCTTCACAATAGCATACAGACTTGTAGCGCGAAGGGTAGAACAAACCTGCGTGAGATGATCTCTATGTTGTTCCCTAGTTTTACTCTACATGAGAATGTCATCAAAGTAAACAACGAGGAATTTACCCATGAATGGTCGCAAAGCTTGTGTTATTACTCTCATAAAAGTACTCGGGGCATTGGTTAGCCCAAAAGGCATGACCAACCACTCATAAAGACCATCCTTCATTTTAAAGGCAGTCTTCCATTCGTCACCCGGGCGAATCCTAATTTGATGGTACCCACTCTTTAGATCAATCTTAGAAAATATCGTGGCACCGACCATCATGTCCAACATATCATCAAGCCTAGGGATTGGAAAACGGTACTTCACTGTGATCTTATTGATGACACGACTATCAAAACACATTCTCCAAGAACCATATTTCTTAGGAGTCAAAAGGGTGGGAACCGCACAAGGACTTAGACTCTCACGAATAAATCCTTTGTGAAGGAGCTCCTCTACTTGCCTCTAAAGTTTAGCATGTTCAGTAGGATTCATTCTATAATGAGGTAAATTTGGAAGAGATGATCCAAGGACAAGATCTATAGCATGTTGAATGTCCCGTAAAGGGGGCAATAGATCAGGGAGGTCTTTAGGAAAGACATCTTGAAACTCTTGAAGAACTGATTGGACCTCATCAGGGGTCAATATTGGAGATTCCGATGGAACTTCCATGACGACCACGGCAAACACAACAGAATCTTCTTTGAGTGTACGCTCAAATTCTGTAGGGCTAATCATATGTAACCCTTTCCGCTCCACAATTTTCTTGGTCTGTTATGAGTCAACAAGTTTTGGCGGTAAAGGATTAAAGTGAATCTTCTTCCCATTGAACACAAAGGAACATGAATTTGATCGACAATAAATAGTGACATCTAAATCGAACAACCAGGGTCGACCAAGAATGACGTGTCCGACGTCCATGAGAATGACGTCGCACGATATATGATCTTTGTATTCAAGAAACTGGATAGGAACCAAACAACGCTCGTTTACGACAATAGAAGAAGTGTCAACCCAAGAGACGCTATAAGGTTGAGGGTGTGAGACTGGCTGTAATCCAAGACGAGACACCGTAGCCACAGAAACTGCATTAATGCAGCCACCAATATCCACAATAATTTTACAACCCTTGTTATTGTTCTTGATAAAAGTGTGAAAAATGGCGTAACGACGCCAGTCATCAGCATCTTTAGGGTGAGTGAGGGTACAACGTACAACACTTAGCCGCGAGGTATCGGGGACAGAGGTCACAGAATCTAGATCTATAGGGAAGGTTCGGATGCAACCTAACGAGGTATCATCAATATCATCCAAATCGTCAAACTCTTCAAACTTAGGTTCATAGACTTGATCTTCTAATGACTCACCTTCTACATCTTTTTGTTCCTCAATGACTAAAGCTCAACTAGGACATCTAGATGCGATATGACCAAAGCCTTTACAATTGAAGCACTGCAGGCGGGAAGAAGTTTTTGAAATTTCGGGAGATTTACCCTTATTTTCCAACATAGGGGGAACATTAGATGGGGGAGGCCCTAGAAGGGACTTAACAGGCGGAGGTGGGATGGATGAGACGGAAGGACGATTGTCAACACGCCTTCCATAAGGAGTCTTAGTGACTAACTCATAATCTTGGACTAAAGAATAAGCATGATCAAGGGTAGTGACACCTCGAAGTATAAGCTCACGCCTAAGATCATCTTTTAGGCCCTGTCTAAACCTACTCAAAGTCATTGCCTCATCCTCAACGACATGACATCGCATTTGAAATTCATCAAATTGAGTAACATAGTCAGTCACTGGTCGATTTCCCTGTGTAAGGGTATTCCATTGGTCCAACAAGTTGCCCTTGTAAGATTGGGGCAAATACTTCTCTTGAAGGCGACGCTTCATTTCCTCCCAACTTCCAACTGGAGGTGCACGACGCCTTTCAAAGAGATCCTCAATACTTTTCCAGAAGAGTTGGGCGATGCCAGTTAATTTCAGATTGGCAAACTGGACATGTCGATCCTCTGAGATTCCATACCATGCCAAGAAACGATCCATGTCTCTAATCCACTGAGTAAAAACTCTAGGATCTAAGCAACCATCGAAAGTAGGAGCGTCTAACTTGATGTTTCTAAAGTAACGCTTGTCATGGCATGAAGGAGAATGATTATTGCGACGGCCATGATCTCGTTCTCGATCACGGCCCTAATCTCTACTCCTTTGATCACGTTGAGGATGTTGTTGACCGCCTTGTCGACGACGATAATAGGGTATATTATGGGACGTTTCAGAGTTATCAGCGTCAGTCGAACGAGGGATTTGTTCAAAATCTAATCACGTAAAATAAGTGGGTAAAAGTGAGGGTTTAACAAAGGTTCAATCATGTAATTTCAGGCAAAGTAATATAATAGCAGAACAGAAAATTAATTGATGTGATTTTAAATTAACAGTAATATAGACCAAATATAGATAAAAACAGTAACTCCCCTTTTTGTTTGCTAAGGTAACTGGATCGATCAACAGGACAAGAAGATATACCTGCAAAACAATGTTAGAAAATACAATTTTTTTTTCGCTTTTCTTTTCTTTTTTTTTTTAAACAAAAAAACTTACAAAATCAAACTAAATTACATATAAACAAACTGGGCAATAACTGACCCAAATCACAAACTGAGCCCAATTAAAATTAAATACCCAACCACACAATCCCAAGCCCAGAATATTAACTAAGCCATCGCCCAATTAAAGCCAACTGCCCACTGTTATCTTAGCCTAATCGTTCTCGCCATCTACTCGATCTATAGAGAGCTGGGTCTAAGTGGAAGGGATTTCGAGCGGCGCTAAGTCTAATTCGGTGGTGTACAAACAACTTGGTGAAAATTAATGGCATGGGTCTTCGATTAGGAGCTGCCGGAGAAGATGAAGATGAGACAATTCAAATTTTAGGTTGCAATTTGTATGTGGCTATGGTTGAGCTGAGAATTGCCGAAGACCTAGATAGCCGCCGTTGGTTGCTGACTGGCGATGGAGGTTTGGATAGGGTTGTGTAGTGGTGCGAGATGTGTTTTACTTGTCTTGGTTGGATTTTTTTTTTTGTATGGCAACATGATTGCAGGCAGTGGGTAAGGGTAATAGTGGTGGTAGGTGGTGGTCGTCTGTAGAGGATGGATATACTAGAAATATTTGGTGGGGTTATTGCTCGGTTGGAGTTGCTTTGTTATATGTATGTAATGGATGAGGGTGAAGTTGCTAGGGCTGGGTGTGTGTGGGTGTATGGTTTAGTTTTACAGCAAGGAATGAAGTTTGAAGATGGTGATATATGCAGGTTCTGGTAGTGATAGTGGATAGGAACATATGCAGAGAAGGTGAAGGTGTTAACTGGGTTCTGCAGAAACGGATTTGGAGTTATCACTTTGAATGGGATGATACTAGGTATGGCGTGTGAGTTGTGGATTGCATGCAAACGAATGAACACCTAAAATGTTTCCCCCAAGTTTAGCTCTGATACCAAGTTGATGTAGCATAACATAGACATAGAAGCAATCACATGGAAGGAGAAGATAGGGAAGTAGAAACCAGATAAAAGAAAGAGAAAGAAGTAGGAGAAGAAGAGAAGAGGAGGAGGGGCAGTGGAAAAGGGGAGAATGCTTGCAACACTCCAATTTTCATTTCATTTCAATCAAATCTGCCCCCCATGCATAGAAGGCTGCATACTTTTATACAATACAAAGCATAAAAGGGCTTGGGCCAGCCCAGTAAATGATACAAGCCCAAAAACAAAATAAAAGGCTTGGGCAAGCCCAAAACATAATACAAACCCAAATAAAATACTAACTAGATAGTCCAAGCTAGATGTTCTCATCACAGTGTCTTACAATACGCTTAATTACAGGTTTTGCGGGATTGGGAGCACCGAAGATCACATGGTAATGAGTGTGTGTAGAGAACTTGTGTTATATTAAGAATCTCATAAATGGATATTGTAAGATTGAGGTTGCTGATTCTGCAATTTTGTTGTACAAGGACATGTGTAAAGAAGGTATTTAGCCAGATAGTTTGACGGTTTGATGCAGTTATTATAGTTCTTTGTGATAAGGGAAACTATTCTACTGCTTTGGATATTTTGATGGTTCTATCAAGAAAACATGTTGTCATTCCAAGGAGAGTTATCAAATTCTGATATAATGGTTCTGTCAGGAGTGGAAGATGCTTTAAGGCTTCAGGCAGAGATGGTAGGGAAAAGGTACGAACCAGATTTGGAGTCATATGGCACTTTTATTGATGGGTATTTGAAACATGGTAATGAAACAATGGCTGCTAAATTGAGGAAAGAAATGCTCAACAAGTAAATTTCCTGGGAGGAGAAATTGAAATAATATTCTTCCTCTTTACACCATTTGCAGCACTTTTGAGCAGTCATTTTGCCAGAAAGTGCAAGCTTCTTGTTGAAGCAAGTTAAGTTGCTGGTGATCTTCCAGAAGTTGGTCCGAATGATTTTTCTGGATGCGCAACCGCACAGGTGATGATTTCCAGTTAGAATATTTTATAGACTATTATGAGTTGGATTTAATGTATGGAATTGACAATATGATTGTTGAAGTGGTCAACATGTTATCAGCTTTTAGCTATCATATTTTGTGAATGCTAGATGCATGAATGAATGTCCAGCAAATTGTTGATTCAATGTATAGTCAACATTTTCGAAACCTAGTATACTTTGATTCGACTTTATGTTAGACGAACGAGAAAAAAACATTAACGCCAAATCTTAAAAAAAGACACAGTTTACTTGTATGCCACAGAGACATCTAACATGTCACCTTTCAATATTTCTTTAACCCCACTCCACTCGATGAACCTGAAAGGTAATAATAATTTCTGAATTATTCTATTCAGCTATTTTTACTGATTCACTTGTAGTTTATATATTTTAAGTTGTATGGTGATGAGTTCATAAAATATTAGTACAACTCTAGCCATTATTCCTTTACTTCCAGAGCTGGTTACGGAACTGCCTGAGGGTACACATCTAAGCTCTTCATTAAGCTACCCATACTTTTGCTTCCTTTTTTTTAATTATTTTTTTTAGCTAAATATACGGCATTAACAGTATGTGGGTATTTGTGAAACCTAAAGTGTATGCTTGCAAATAATCTTTAAAATTTTTGTCTGCTGCTTATATTGATTTGAGGATAAATTTCTGTGATTTAAAACAGCACTACAATGTCTAGCAGCTACGCGGTCAAATTATTTTCTTGGTTCATTGATTTGATAGTTGCCCCTGCGCTAATGCTTCTCCATCTAGATGTTTGGGGTCTGTTCTGATTTTTTTTTTTCTCTCCTACTGACAATGGTTAAGTCAGCTAAGCCCGAAAATAATGATAATCCATTTTTCCACAGATTTCTGTTGTTTATTTCGAATTTGTTTCACTAACGTGTGGAAAAAACTCTTGATGACAGGATATACTGCTTCTCTTCGTAGTTGTTTTCTGCCAAATGGCATTTCTAGTGGGAACTAATATATTTTTATAGTAGAGTCTAATTCATCACCATATTTTGGATCTATTCTACTCACTGTTCTCATTGCAATTATGCAGGTTTGAATCTTTAGAATATGTTGGAAGATGCCTAGATTGGTAGTGGAGTTGGTGTTGACTGGCAAGACCAGAGGTTTCCCTAGAAGCTTAAAACTTAATGCATCTATGTTTGGCATTTATATATTGTATAGTTGGACTGGGCTGATGCTTATGGACCACTTGTGGAATCGAACCCCAAAACGAATAGGCTTGACTGGCCTGGCCTCGGATACAGGATTGTAGAATAATTTATTTGGGAGCTCCGCTTTAATAATTTGTAGAAATTACACCGTGAACCTCAATTTTGGTGTCTTTAGTACTGTTTGTAATCTCCTTCATGGTAAAAGGAAATTGGGTACTCTGTTTCGAAAAATCTTTTTCGTTGGTGTAATTGATGAAACTTAGCAAAAACTTCGGTTGTGATCTGTATTATGTTCATTAGAGGCAGCTTTTATTGCAAATCTGCAATTTGGATGTTTTTCACTTAATCTTGAACGACATTACAATAGGGTTTACAAGCGTAGAGTACGAACATCTGCTGCAATAAGAAATATGGAGATGACTATTTCTCATCATTAGCATGTAATGTATAGTCTTAAAATGGAATTTTCCATGCCCAGAAGTTCAGATTACTTTTCAAAAGAATAACGGGTTTCCCATGTTTTGTTTTGCTGAATGAGTAGCTTTTGGTGGGACAAGTAATTGTATTTCCCATATGAGTTAAATCATATACTGCTCTTCTAAATTCTAGATAAAAGAAATTGCAAATTACTACTTGATACGGATTGGGCTTTGAGGCCATCACTCTCCTCTAATTGCGGCAAGACTTTGTGGTTTTTTGGTTGACGACATTGCAATTCAAAAATGTTTGTCTTCATGCCTCTTGTTGTGTGGGGGAAGGGACATGGGAACATGCACCAAAATTTCTTTGATGCATAGAAACGTAACTTTATTCACATCATTTCTTTATTTACTGTGTAAGAATATTTTCTTTAAAATTATCTGCGCCACATATGTACAACAATTAACTGCAGAAGCATCATTTTCACCACTAACTCTAGAATCCCATGTTTTTAGATGATAGAGAACTTAATGTGATAGAGCGGGAAGCAGCCATAGATTGAAAAGAGAAGAAGCCACAGAGAGAAGCCATGACAAGAATGCCATTGCGGCAGATATCTGATATCTGATGCATAGCCTTGGAGGACAAAACGGCCCATCAGCTCTGAGCAGCAGATCAATAATGCTAGCGGTCGAGCTGGCTGCAGCTAATGTGAGAATGGACAAGACCTATGTATTGAACATGAACTTTGTTATTCTTTAAAACTACTTGTATCTCTGTACAAGTATCAAAGAACAGGAATTACCGAGTCTCCTATAACAATGACCAGCAATATTCCCGACTGGCGAATTGAGCATTTAACTAGAATGGAGTATCCATCGAGAATCGCCAGAGTGAAACTCCACGGTATGACCAAGCCCATGATTGTTACCAAGAAGCTGTATTTTAACATGTGGAAACAGAAGAAACTTATTGCATTTTTCAAATGAAGATATATTGTCTGAGTCAGCAAATAATAAGTTGGCTGGCCTTTCTACCCGAAACCAGAAAATGTAATACGAATTAGTTGTATCGTGCTGTTACTGATATAAGATTTGACAAGTGAAATTGAGCCTTTTATTCAGTTGCAACAATTATATAAACATTATTTTGCCATAATATTAGCCTTGTTTTTTTGTGTATGACTATTTCGTTAAATCCATAAAGCAAGTTGTACTTCTCTCCATTTATGTTGGTGTTTTATACAGTAGGTTTTGCATTTTTGTTGCTCAGTATGTGTCTTGTGCTAAACGCGCACGTAGCCATGTACAAACGATCTTTAACCATTCAATATCAAGAATTGCTTGCTAACCTATGGCAGAGGATCATGGATCATGTCCTAAATTTACCCCTCTAGTTTTGAATTGGCCAAATGGGCTATTAAATCTGATGGATTTTTAATGGTTTTCTTTCAGATATTGCTGATCATACTGTTAAAGAACAGAAGCAAACTCCTGGCGCAGATGGAGATGTAAATCTACAAGCAAAGATGCATATGCAGAAAGAGTTGCATCAGTATTAAAATTTACCAAAAGGCTGTATAGCTGTAGAACCCAACTCCAAAAGACATGAAGAAAAGAGAAGCTGAAGAAAAGATGGCCTGGCCAAGTCTCAGAGCAAAGCTTGCACTCGTACCTACGGAACCCGGCACAGAATCCATGGCCATGTGACTTGTTTCAAGGGATCTACATTGACAGAACCACCTCAAGTAAAGATGATGATTGCCTTCTCTTGTTTGCAAACTCATTATAGCCTTCGAATCGAATTCTAAATCTTTGCAAACTTTGCATCAAGCCCATCACCATCACTAAGCTCTTGAACCTAATCTATCAATCTTTGAATTCAAGTATCCTCAAGAATTTTGTTGCTTATCATGTCTCCTTTATAAGCTTATATCTCAGTTTGTGCGATGATCGGATCAGAATAGAAAAGAGTCGGTATGGAGAAAGGGAAATCTGCGGTGGGAGTATTGTGTGAGTTACTTCAAGAATGCCTGTTATCTGTCTTGAAAATGTTATTCTCGTTGGAAGATTTGGATCTATTGAGTGCTTTAGTGGGATTTTGATTTATGGAATGCAATGTTTTGTTGGTTGAAATTATATAATTTCAACGTGTAAAAATGGCTTTAATCATGGTGGATTTGACGCTTCAATTTCCTTACCTATTCCATTATTTTTGAATAAATGGCTATAGTTTGTTCAATACCGACAACAAAATAAACTCGGATAAAAATATTTGTACAAAATCCTGTTAACAAAATGGTGTACTCACTCTCACAAAATTAGCGGATCCCAACTGAATTTAAAAAATGTCGGCTTGTGGTCCCCACCCCCATAGTGAGTAGTAAGTAAAGGAGTTTATAAAAAAAGTTTGTACATATAGTATGATTCAATAAACTTTTTTCGATAATGAAAAGTATGGGATAAATTTTGTTTGTGATTCACGTTATCTAAAATTTTCACTTGTAGTGCAAAAAAAGTGTGTTATCTAATCTAAAGCCTTGTTTAAGAAAAGACAAGTCCTTAGTTGTGCACCTAATCTAAAGCCTTGTTTGGTACTGATTTAAATTAGATTTTAATTTAAGTTAAAGTTAAATAATTAATTTTAACCATATATTTCATGGGTTTCACAATTTTTCAACTACACATTTCAATAATTTTTATCAAAATTTACTAAAAAATTAATTTTAATCCATCAAACAAGAGCTAAATATGACAAATATTATAACCAGGGAAGGCAAAAAAGAAGTGTATTATTGGCAGTTGATCTGTACTATCATGTAGCAAAAAGAAAGGACATGGACCATTTAATATGGACCTCTTTTTGAGTAATGGATTCCTCGTAACCAAGAGTATACAAGGAGGGTTAGTGGTTAGAATCACACCTTGAATTGTATGGCATACATGATTTGGAATAATGCTATTCATATGCACGATCTATAATAAATGGTGTATGCGGTGGTTTCACATGGCCTAAAAGATTCAATTGACATTTTTATTTTAATTATATTGAAAAATGTAATATTATTTAACACTATCGATATTACAACACCAGTGTAGATGACACTAGGTATATTAAATGAGAGGTAAATTGTTAATTTAGCATGTTACATAGTGTCACATAGACGAATGTTGCAGAACTGGTGATATTAAATAGCAATGTTCTATAAAATTGAGTATTATTATGTAGAATATTTAGTCTTAAGTCATGTGGAATGCCGAGTTGAAAGACAATAACTGTTAGAGCATGTTTGGTACAGCTTAAAAGTCAATTAAAATCAATTTTTTCACCGTTATTTCACTATTTTAATCGTTATTTTTGAATTCTTCTCTCACAAATAGGATTCACTTTATCTCTAACGATCAAAAAAATCAATTATCAAAATCCTTACCAAACAAGCACTTAATAACTTCACTTTATTAGTGGACACAAATTTGTAAGATATTCATATATTAGTTAAAAGCATGTGCGTACGCTCATGGTATAACGGATTGAAAATAATTAAGCTTGTAAAATAATTTTCTTTTGCCATGTTCAATCTCGTGTATTAAGATTTGATCTAGGTAAATTGTCTAGTTACATATTTTGATACTAAGCATGTTGGATGCTTTCGAAAGGGAGTTATTTCGATGACAACAAATGTCAAGATTTGATGGTTTGTATAATTCTTGATTGTCATTACGTCTCAAGGTTCATTTTTATATTCATATTCTTTCTACATTTAACTTGAATAAAGAAACATTTAAAACAGACATCAAGAAACATTCATATTTTTTCTATTTTTTTTTTTTATATATTTTTTCTTTTTTTTCAGTGAACTTTTTCTTTCTTTAAAAATTTTAGTTCTGGAACCAAATCGAACAGAACTGGAACCATTAAGTTCCGGTTCAGTTCTAATATTGTACATGGAATCAAATGATTCCATTATAAAAGAAATTTGCTTTTCGATTCCGTGAAATCGGAACTGAATCACGCTCAGAGCTACTCCTAAGGAAGGATGAATGGCGTCGTTTTGATAACCACGCACAATAATTATGCATAGAGAAATTAAGAAACAACGAATGACAGAAAAGTAAAAATTGTGGACTTTATGTTATTAGCACGACGCTAGCAAATTGAGCTAATAGGCCATGTTGATGCTAAGTTCTCAATTCATTAGAGAGCCGTTTAGTTTACTCTATTTTGCAGTAAATTCTAATCAGTATTCTAAAAAACGTAAAGCATATCTAGACTGGAAGCTCGACCTTATTCTATAATCGTATTTTACTCGTTTTAGACCTCTAATCCATATTCGTAAAAAGTGAACATCTTGTTGCAAGAAAAAGGTAAATTAACTTTGTCTACCACATTCACATGGAAAAAATGTTTTAATATTTAAAAATGCTTAATATATTATCATTTGATATGAGACTCCTTGATTGACGGTTTGCAATGATTATAAAAAATTCTAAGTGTACAGAATTTTAAATTTACAGAATGTACAGAGTTTCACAAACGATGGACCCCACATAAATATTTTATTGCCAAAAAAACCACCCACCCCCTAGACGTGTGTATTCTGTACAACATCTGTACACTTAAATTTCTGTACATGTAAACTAACTAAATGATTATTGTTACTTTTGGTTTGGAATAGTGTGAATTTTCAATAACGAAAATCTTATAATATGCTAAGAAACTCTTATTATAATTTTTATAGACGTGTATTGATTTCCATTGATGATATTTTATTACTATTACTTGTCATCCACAAAATTATTTCTCTTTTTACTTCTAATTTGATTTGATCCCATGCAGGAAATTAATTGACTTAGTGCAAAAGCACGGTTTGAGGAGATAGGTTGAACCGTGATCTACATTTTCATTCTAATGTGTGTAAGATTGTAAACTTAATGTACTCAAAATTAGTTGCTTATCAACTTCAATACAATATTCACCTCCATGATAATGAAATTTTACTGTTGTGTGATCGGAGTTAAACGAGTATAGAGTCAATAACATAATAACAGGCAGAAGAGCAGAACATTCAGTCTGCGTCTCTCTCAAATCCCCAGTGGCAACTTAAAAGAGAGAGATATCTGCAGGAGGTCCATAGACGCTCTTCCATGAAAATGGAATAACCCATCTTCCGGCTTCATTGCCTGAACAAATCAAACAACGCAAGTTAGTACGGCAACGTTAGAGCAATTATATCAACATAATTATGTGGAACACGCGTGAATGTTATCAAATATGAAGTTCCTAGAATCTAGCCCTACGTGTATTTGGATTTTCAAGCTTCACTTACAACAAGACGAGAGAAAAATTGACTCAAAGAAAACCAGACGGGCCACTAGTCAAGATTAAAAATTATCCAGTTGGAGATTCACACAGTTGCTTTTTTTGCCAGAGAAAGATAAAAGGAGAACATGTCGAGGGCCAAAGGTACTAGTTTCTCAGTTGAATTAGATGGTTACTTCAATTTATTAAAACGTGTATTCATTCATCGTCACAAATCAAATAAATGGTAACTGGAGAATGTTGGTAGATGGCGAGGCACATATTATAGTGAGGAACCGAAATTGCTCGAAACTGGTTTTAACTTAACATCGTTACAGACCATAAGACATTGGTGAATATTTAGCTTTATAAGTTAGAATTGAACTAACTTGCACAGGTATAGGGGGATAAAGCAAAATAACACGTCATGCAGCCATAACAAACAAATGAAAACAGAAGAGTGCAAAATGTAGATGGAAGAGGTAGGGAAACAAGAAGCTGAAACTTAAGATCACCAAACTCACCATGGAATTCATTCTGATTCAACCCCGTGAGTTTGCTTGCTGCTTCAGCCAAGTGGAAAGCTTCAGGTATATTGTCTCCCTCCGAGCAATAACATAGTAAGCAAGTAACCTTTAAACCTTTGGCCTATCCAAAAGACATAGCAAATCAGCAACACAATGTGTTTCAGATTTAATTATCTGAAAGACACGAATTTTACATTTATCAAGTGATTCAAATCCTATGAAATTACTATGTCATGCCTATTTCCATGGATAAAGTTATAGAAGAATACCAATATGGTTATACAAATAACTTTTACCAACAAACTTTGATGTGGAAGATGATGAAATTATCCACGGACAATGGATTTCCCCTATACTGAGAATCCCTATGTCATTAAATTGTTTCATAGAGATTTCCAGATCGAGCAGCTGAGGTTATCAAAGATGAGAATTGGTTGCCTATTACAAACTTCAACTATGAAATGCAATGCAATGCAATGTATACAGGAGACACACTGTACTACTAGATAGATAACACAAACATATATATCCTAAAACAGTTCAAAAAATGCACATTACAAGATATGATAAATGAATAACAAAAATGAAAAATGGAAACAAGAAGGTCAATAACTAAAGTTTCCTTTATAGTTGCTGAAAAGTTACTTTTCATAGTCAAACATTAATTTTAATCACACATTTCATACGACCCCACAATACTACCCACTTATCCACCACTTATTTCTACCAACTTATAATTTTAGCAACTAAAAAGGAAATCCAGACAAAGGCAAATTCTTGTAGGTTCTGTTCATTTAAGTGTAAAGGAAGCCAATGGAATGAACATCCATGATGGGAATGGAGGAGAACAAAGGGCGACCAATAAATGATATAAATAACATGTCATATAGCTTTTGAGAACCCTCTTTCCTCCCCTTTACTTACTGGAATAAAGAAGATTTAAAAACTCCATTTTTCTTCCCTTTCCCTCCATCACTCCCTGAACGAACAGCTCCTCTTAAGGATACTGATAAAATCATTTTGTGAAACTCAAAATTTGTCTTTGCCCCCTCAGAAGTCAAATACACTATATACAAGCCAATATAACAGATTGTGTGAAAAAGAGGTGGAGATGAGCAGGACATGCCACTGAATTAAATCTTGCACATTAGAAGTTTATTCACAGTCCAAAACAGAGATTTTGACTCACCTTAAGGCAAGAAAACAGCGCAGCAAAAGGCAAACTTGGGTAGTAATCTTCATCTCCTAGATCTTCAAAAAGCAAATCTTCTTCCATCGTAGAACCCCCTTCAGCTAAGTTGTTAAGATACTTCCACATCCTCTGAGAAGGATTATACTCCTGCAATCTGTGCCATCCAAGCTTTTCACAATCTTCATCTGTTCCATCCATATTTATTGTAGAGAGGTAAAATATCTGCAATCCACTGGTATAAATCACCATGGAGTCAATTAATCTCTTCAATATGCACAACACTAAAATGGCTCCGTACAGCAGTAACAAGTAGAAAATGAATATCACATTTATAAGTTTCAGATAGTGCAAAATAAATTCTATATATCAAGTTATATTTAAAAATCTATACATTATACAGATGCTTTAGATATTTATCATCTGCAAACAAATTGGATCGTGTAATGACATTGACAACACCATTATGACATACCAATAACTTTAGAGAGAAATTTCTAGAGAACTTTTCAATGAAATTAAAACACTCAAAATGAAAATATCAGACAGGAAAGAGTGCTTATGAGCTTGGCGGGCAGCATGTATGCATGTCTGCTTGCCTTTCTCGTGTGTACACGTGCTTCAGAGAGAGATTTCCATCATCCATAGTGTATCACATCTTTCATACATCATGCTTCTGGGGAGAATTAACTAAATATTGTACATTATCTTTTGCTTTATATACAATATACAAAAGGCAACTATCAATACCTTGATACGTCAATGGAGTGCCATCGTCCAAAATCTAAGCTGGAGAGGATGATAACATGCTTCTTCCCATTAGAGGCTACAAAATTTGCTAAATTCTTAGCATACTCTACCATCATACCCTGTTTAAGAATCCATTGAGACATGTAAGTGCCACTACTTCTGAATGAATATTCAGACATAACACCAAAAATAATTAACTAATAACCCTGTATCTTACTCCAAGCACAAACGAAAGATAGCTAAAAGGTACGAATAGATTATAAAATTCGAATAATCCAAATTCATATGTATATGTGAGCTAGTTATGTACCCAAATCACATGTGCTTACAACTTATCTTGAGGGAATAAACGATTGGCAAATGCTAGCATCAATTCTTTTCGATACTTTTACAAACCCCATTTCTATAATAGTTTGACTTCAACTCTTCATAACAAATGCATTTATTTAATTAACATGTTTCTATATGTTATTCACGAATTGACAGAAAAGCCCTAACACAGGAACATTTGTCCATTGTTTAGAGCATGTTTGACTAAGCTTAAGGAAAAAGTATAAGTTACTTTTATCTCCAAACATGTTCTGATATTTTATTTCTAACTTTTAAGTGACAAAAGTTGCTTATTTTGGAACTAATTTTGCCTCCCTGTAAAAATAGGTTACTTATTTACTTGTTATTAAACTTTCTAAACTTAGCCAAACGTGATCTTAGTTCTATCTAATCACCAAACAATATTATATAAAAACGAAACATAAATGATAATAAAGAACCATTACCTTAACCACCGGAGACCGCTGTTGTACAAGTGACAATGCACTAGATGAAGACTGATAAGCTGCCCATTTTAACCAAAATAATCACAGTCACTTGCAAAATCATCAAAATCAACAACACTCAATAAAAGTTCAAACATAAAAAGTTAAAAAGAAAATTAAAAACTCAAAAAGAATACCTTCGAGTGGGAGTGTAAGATCGCCAGGAGGCGAAGGCCAATAAGCATCATTGCCAACACAAGGAAGGATATTCGGATCGTCTAAATACCCGATTTTCTCCGCTTTTAACGACGATATCAAGAGATCCACCGCTAGTTGCCCAACGTTACCAATCGATAACGCCGGCTTAAAATTGAGGGAAAAAAGTCCAAATTAATGAAAATAAAAACACAAATGTGGAAATGAAGTGATGATGAAGCCCTAGAAACAAACCAGAATTAATGTGGAGCAATTATGGTCTGATTCTTTTCCTTCTTCAGCATAAAACTCCATTTTCGAAGAATTTGCGCGTGTTTCTGTGTTGATTTTTAACTATTCGAAGTTTGCTTTGCTGCGTGAAATTTTTGTGAAGATAGAAGAAAGCTGAGTCTGAAAGCATGCTTGGAAAACAAGTTGGGCTAAAAAGGGCCCACGCTTTTGTTCATGGGCTTTATGGGTCCAATCCAATATATAAAAATGATCAAAATTTATTCCGAATGGTACATTTTAATGAACTTACATGTAATATTCACTTAATTCTTCAGTTATTTCTACCTGATTTACAAATTAAACCATTTATATTTTCTTCCCAAACGGAGGCTAAAAAATAAACGTTTACGTAAATAAGTAAATTTTAAAATAAATCTCTTTCTTTTGTCCGTCATAGTTATTTATGCGATTAAATTTTAAAATATTCAGCAAAAATATGGAACTTTGTTTTGAGAATTGTATTATTAATTCTCAGTCGAATGTCTCACTAACACAACCAAAACGATGGAATAATATGGGCAGATCTCAATTTAAAAAGAAAAGAATTGGACAATCAGTATAAGGTTTCAAGTCTCTATAGGTTCACTAGAGAAGCATAGCTAACATCCCAAAGGGAGTAGAAGGATCGTGCTTTGAGGCTCGCTCTAAATCGGATGGTTCCATGGGTCCTATATGGAGCTAGTGTGGAGTAACTAGAAATCCTACTGTCCCTAAAAGCTAGAATCTAGCATTTTTTTGTTGGCTAGATTCAACTTGAACCACCAAGCTCGCCCATCTTTGAGTGGCTCCATGATTTGGTAGTTACATCATCAATCTCTATGTCATCGTGCCAATTGTTAAATTGTCACGCTGTTAACTTTCAAACTTAGGTTAGTGCTCGAAATTCTAAATTGAGGCATATTTTTAGAGCAATGTTGCTTAGTACTATTGGTGTTAAAACATCAGTTTATGTGGCATTAATGTGATATTAAATGATAAAGGCAATTAAGTGAGTCACTTTATTTCACCTTTTATTAAGTTGATCGCATAGCATCACCCAGACTAATGTTATAGCACCACCAGTGTTAGATACCATTGTTCATATTTTTATGGTTGAAAAATAATTTGTTCATCTTGAAAGAGAAGTGAGAATTATTACACTACTAATTTGCCTCCACATATTGGCATCTCGTCCGTTGTATTATGCTAAGATGAGGTGAGAGTTAAACAAGTGGATATGAACCATAGTCACTGGGTAAGAACTCCTGTTCCAAACCAGAAACGTGAGATGAGATCACATCTTAGTGATAAAAGTATTTGATTAGTTTTTTCTTGCTTGGTAAATATGGAATGTTGGTAAGTTATTTGGCATGTCTGTCTTGCAGTAACAGTAGATTCTTTGTTACTTTTCCCTCATAAAAATGTCCTCACGTCATGCTAATGACTCGGTTTTTGAGTTTTGCATAAAATCTCCACAGTAATACCTTGGGGTTCTCTTTTTCCGTCCTGGTTAAGTGTCAACTAATTGCCAATGAGATGGAGAACAGAGACCCTGGGGGATAAACTTTAAATTTCCTAACATGTTTGAAAAAGTTATTTTTATCTTATTCTCAAGTAGAAATGGTAGGTAGTTTGAAAGTAACTTTTGCCTTATTGTCCAGGCTAGGTACTTGATGACTGCCCTGTTCATGAAGCTGCTAACCTTGTATCTTATGTTTACAGCTTGTCACAGGCTCCATAATCTCCCATCGACGTACCTTATCTAGGAAAGTTAGTTATGCGAGCCTCCGTTTTTATAGCTGAAGTTATGTATGTTGGTTCAAACTCCATACGTTTATGGCATGTTCGGTTTAGGGATTTGCTAGTACTGGACGGTGAAAAAGAAGTTAAAATCTTGTTTCTTATACTTTCGATTTCTGTTCAATTTTGTGTATTGAACATGCACTTATTGCCAAAGACGGGGGCCATGATAAGTCTCAAGTGTTTCTTCACTGGCATAGCCATTAAGGAATTCTCCCTCTGGTCTTTTCGTTTTATCTTTCTACCAGAAGCCCTAATGGATGAGGATATAGCACATCTCATCGATAACTCTTTGCTATAAAAGTTACATATCGACCCTCTTTATGAAGAGTACGTTGGACTAGACACGACTAAAAATTTATTGAAGAAGAGAAAAGTGAAAATATTTGTTCATGATCAACATTCCAAACAATCCCTAGAGAAAGTTTACCAATTTATTTCATAAAGCAAAATCAATCAACTCTACATTCAATTGATAACTAAGCAAAGAGTGTCTTTTCACTGAAAACCATCATAAAACCAACCAAATTTAGCATATTCCTCACTCGGATTCCTCGACCGCAGCTTCAATTCTGAGTAGAACAAAACCAACCGCAACTCCAACAAGAACTAATCCATTCATAATTGCAGCAATCCTAAAGATCTCAGACGCTGCATCGCAAGTAGAAGACAGAGCCCCGCCACTTTTCCCTTGGCGAGATGTCTGTTTCTTCATTGAACTAACAATCTTGGCAAATGACTGTTCAGTACAAACTGGAAGGCCTAATGCTGCCACACTGTTATGAGCTTTAAGCCCTCCAAATGAGTTCAATCCATTGATATATTTCACCTTGGTTCTTCTCGGGGATGATCGGGCCGGACCCATGATGGCTGCAGCCGGGACCGAGATTGTAGCTGACGCGGTTGCCATTGCTTACAGCCTGAGGAAGAAGTGAACAAGAATTAGACACAAAAGGTATATGTATTGAAGATTTTAAAGTGGGCAACATGTGTTGGGAGTTTTACCTGTAATTCGATGAGTTTAGGGATGATTTTGAATCGGTGGAATATAGAGTTTGTAAGGAAAGAAATGGAAGAGTGTGGATAAGGTGAAATAGAGATTGGTTGGCTGATAAGAAGATGGGATGAGGCTGATTTTGAAGGCTAAAAATCTGAACTTGTAATAGTGGCCAGGAATGGGACAACTTGACAACTATTTGCAAGAATTAATTCTTTAGCTGCATAAATCCTGTTCGTTGGGTCGGGGTGGGGTGGGGGTTGGAGAGAGGTCTATTACGATCCACTTACACGAGTAAACCGACTTTAAACTTTTGGCAGGACTCGCCAAGCCAGACTCGTTGCACTCTGTGTAACCTGTCTCAACCTATAGTCCTGTCTCTAAATAGAATTTTGTTGTTTTATCAAGGTAGAGGTTCATAACCACTCATAGCGGGACCCGCCTGTAAAAAAATTACCCCAAACCCCACCCCAACCCCAGGTTGTGAGTATTTGATAGGGATTCCTACCCTCGACCCCAAGCTCTTCTCCTCTAAATAGGATGCGTTCACATGTCTAATGAATTAAGAGCTACTATACATGTACTTACAATTTTACAAATAGATTAAACCTTTTTTTCCCATCTATCAACCTATATGTTAAAGGAGGGTGTACAAATAGCAAAACTCATTATTTTAATTCGATTGAAATTTTGTTTATCAGTCTTGTTGGCCATAGTGATCAAACTTGGCACCATCAATCTATTACCAACTTTTTTCCATGTGGACGACACAAGCTGATATTTTAAATTAGGGATTTCTTTTTCTCAATTTGGATATTTTGGATCGTTAATGTAGAAACAAATTGAGCGAAATGAGATAAAAATAAAAAAAAAAAAAGGAAAAAAATCGATAATTCTTCTGCTCGTTTGATTATGTCAATCTATAAACAATAATAACATGGAGAAAAATTTCGACAATACTCATTCCGTCACACGTCGACCAAAAATTCCAGTGAACGGGTTTCAATTAGCAAAAACACAGAGCCCAAAATGTCGCTAAAGGTATTTCGATATTTCCTTTTTACCAATCTAGCATAGCAGAGGTAACAATTTAGAATATTTGGTAAAAATAATTATAGAACTTCTGTCCAGAACACCTGCGAAATATTTACACAAGAAAGGGGGAAAAATGACACCTACAGAGATTCCAATATACATTTTTTGTTTATTGAATGGGGGGACAACTTGACAACTATTTGCAAGAATTAATTATTTAGCTGTATATAATCCTCTTCGTTGGGTCGGGGAGGGCTTTGGAGAGAGGTCTATAACGATCCGCTTAGACAACTAAATTGGCAGTTCTCATCCTGTATCTAAATAGGATGCGTTAACAGGTCAAATGCATTAAGAGCTACTATACATGCACAGGCAATTTTACATATAACTTTACTTGGTGTACATAATTTTTGGAATCATGCTACATATACAAACTTTTTTCATAAATTCCTTTACTCACCGCTCACAATGAGGATGAGGACCACAAGCCGACATTTTGTAAATGCACGTGGGGTCCACTAATTTTGTGAGAGTGAATACACCATTTTGTCAACAAAATTTTGTGCAAATATCTTTATCCTAATTTTTAGATTGTGCTTGGGCTACGTAATTTTGGATAAAATTTTGGGTTATCCAAAATTATGTACTAATAGATTTATTCCAATTTTTTTGTAAATCAAGGCTTCCTCACACTCATATGGAGTGGGGTCCATCGAACATTTTATTCGAGTGATCCACACTCCATATGAGTGTATGAATATCTTAATGTACAACAAATTATGTACAAGTAGGTTTATCCTTTTACTTATAGGTTAAACTGATTTTTTTTTTCTTTTCTTTTGTCTAATATGTCCACCTATATGTCAAAAGAGGGTATACAAATAGCAAAACTCATTATTTTAATTTGATTCAAACTTTGTTTATCAATCCTGTGGCCTGTGGGTCATAGTGATCAAGCCTGGAACGATCGATCTATTACCAAGCTTTTTCCATGTGGACGACACAAACTGATATTTTAAATTACGGCTTTCTTTTTCCCGATTTGACAATTTTGGATCGTTAATGTAGATATAAATTGACCAAAATGAGATAAAAAAAAATAATAATAATCGATAATTTTTCTCCTCATAAGGGGGCCTTCACCCTGCACCCTAACACTAACTTTAGTTTCTCTTGCTTGCCACAATCCTATGTATGAAAAAGTAAGACCAGTGGCAAAGGGGAGGCGGATAGGGCTCAGCGCGGCAGTGTGCAGAGTTCGATTCCCCGCAAGGTGGAATTGACTTTGTTGCAAGCAGGAGTTACCATATAGGTTAACAGCTTTGGCCTATCCATGTGCTCTCCACCCTGACTCCTGTGAGGCACATCCTGCGATTTACCTCCTCCACGATGACCCAGGACAGGATCGTTGGGGGCCCTTAAGGTTGGGGTTCAACCTTTTTTTTTTTTTTTTTTTAAGTAAGACCAACTCAAACTATAAACAATAATAACATGGAAAAAAAACTTCGAAAACTCATTACTTCGCAGGTCAACCAAAAATTCTAGCGAACGAGTTTGAATTAGTGGCAAAAACACAGCCCAAAAAATGTCGCTAAAGGTATTTCGATATTTCATTTTTACTACTCTAGCATAGCAAACGCAACAATTTAGAATATTTGGTAAAAATATAAGTACAGAACTTCTGTCCAGAACAGATGCGAAATATTCACACAAAAGAGGGGGAAAAATGACATTTACAAAGATTCCAACATACATTTTTTGTACCGTAAGAATCTGATCGTTCACGAAAAGGCCATAGAAGAAGTTGCAACTCATTTTTGCTGATGTTGCAATTTCTTGAAAAGTTCGAAACAGAGAGGAAAAGGCACAAATCCGTTCTATACAGGTTCGACATGCATCGTCTTGTGGATATCCAGCACAACTTCACGCAGCTCGGGAAAGACCGATAGTAGCAGTAGTTCTAGTAATCCATAAGCAAGTTGCTTCAAACATACCGTAGACTGCAAGATTGGAAATTATCAAACGACGGGAAGCAGAAATTAAAATAGAAAGATTCTTAAGGAATGTACATTACACAGTAATAACACATGGTAATAACACATGACAGATAGGACGCAACTTTTTACCTTCTTTACTAGTGTCCAA